CAGCACCAGCAGCAGTAGGCAGGTGCTTTACATTGAACAGCGCCTGCAGCAGTAGGCAGGTGCTTTACATTGAACAGCGCCTGCAGCAGTAGGCAGGTGCTTTACATTGAACAGCACCTGCAGCAGTAGGCAGGTGCTTTACATTGAACAGCACCTGTTAAACTTACTATTTTTGCAGCATAAACTCTTCTTTTGTTCTCAGCTCATCAATTAAAGACATGCCGTTAATGCACATCACTCAGAAATAAGACAGTATAGCTCCATGGAACTGTAGAGGCGGCATACAGGGTCATCAATATTTAGCGTTACATTTTCTTCAATATCAATTGTTGATAATTGTCCTCGACATTTGTCATTTGTTTACACCTTCTCATTAATCTTTATCATTATTTATCATCTTTATGGTGTCAAAAAACACCAACTGTCTGCTCAAGTTGTTGACAAACGCCTTCAAAGATCCAAGATTCTTCTTTCCCTCATTCATGATAGCACGCTGCCAAACCTCGTTTTCAGTGATGAGAAGATATTCAATGTTGAACACCACTTCAACTCCCAAAATGATCGAATTTGGTCGAAGAATGGGACGAAGGATCCCGAGTGGTGACTAGGAAGCAATGTCCGACCTCAGTGATGGTCTGGGCAGCCGTAACAGAGTCCTCAAGGAGTCCCCTCTTTTTTGTTGACAAAGGGGTGAAATTGAATCAGAAGAACTATCGAGATGCCATCCTTGTTGGTGCATTGTTGCCCTGGGCACGAAAGCACTTCAAAAAACGTCCCTGGTCGTTCCAGCAGGACTCTGCACCATACCATGGGGCCAAATCGACTCGGGAGTGGCTGTCCGAGAATGTTCCCCACTTCATTACCAAAGATGAATGGCCCCCATCGTCACCCGATCTGAATCCTCTGGATTTTGGGATCTGGTCATACCTTGAGAGCAAGGTCTCGACCGTTCACCATCACAGTTTGGACGCCCTAAAGGTCAAACTGCTGAAGGAGTGGGCCAAAATCCCGCAGTGTCATTCGTGACTCGTGTAAGGCGTTCTCTAAGCGTCTACAACTCGTTATTGATGCAGATGGTGGACATATTGAATGAAATTGTGGGAATTGTATCTCTGAACCTCTGCCTACATTAATACATTTTCAAACATTTACAATTGTGTTTCATTTCATAGTTCTAACCACTTAAAGTTGTAACGCTAAATATTGATGACCCTGTAAGTTCTCACCTCAGCAATTAAAGTCATGCCGTTAGTGCACATCACTCAGAAATAAGACAGTACGCTCCATGGAACTGTAGAGGCGATATATGTTCTCAGCTCATGAATTAAAGACATGCCGTTATTGCACATTACTCAGAGATAGAACAGTAGGCTCCATGGAGCAGCGGTTGGTCACCTTGGATCCCTCGAGCAAGAAGCTGTCCCAGATGTGGAGGTAGATGGTGTGCGGCATCTCCTCCACAAACACACACAGGAACCAGTTGAAGGTGATCATGCTGATGTCGATACGGTGCTGACTGAGGTGCGTGTGTAGCTGTGGCAGCTTCTCTGCTATCAGCACGAGCAGCACGCGCTGTGTACACAGGGCAGTAAGCATTAATACAGCAGCACACAGGCAAGGCAATGAGTTCTAGTATAGCAGCACACAGACAAGGCAACGGGCCCAAACAATGCCCAGGCAGTGAATATATATCGAAATCCTGCACCTAACGCAGACTTAATTACCGAGTCATAAAACAGCGAAAAATGACCTGCAGTTAATAGACCTGCGGCCCTAACATCAAGAAAATAAATGAAAGATTGTATGAATCTTCCAATACATCAGTGACAAGAAATGGAGGTTGAAAACATCTTCCTGTCCGCGGGACGGACGCTCCAGTAAACAAGGATTTTAACTGCCACCTGATTTATGATGGATGTAATGGACAGAACTGGTGCTGGTGCGGCGAGTAGTACTGCTCACCTGGTCCACCTGAGGCCCCACGAGGCGCGGCGAGTAGTACTGCTCACCTGGTCCACCTGAGGCCCCACAAGGCGCGGCGAGTAGTACTGCTCACCTGGTCCACCTGAGGCCCCACGAGGCGCGGCGAGTAGTACTGCTGAGGCATGAGGTGCTCGACGATGGCCACGAGGCACCAGAACGCGTCCACCTCGGACAGGAAGAGCAGCGCGACGGCGGCCAGGCGGTTGAGGCCCTGCAACACACAACCACGATAGAGGACGCCACATCACACATTGCTTAATACAAGGGCTGTGTAATGTTTTATTTATACAAGGGCTGTGTACTGTTTTGTTTATACAAGGGCTGTGTACTGTTTTGTTTATACAAGGGCTGTGTACTGTTTTGTTTATACAAGGGCTGTGTAATGTTTTGTTTATACAAGGGCTGTGTAATGTTTTGTTTATACAAGGGCTGTGTAATGTTTTGTTTATACAAGGGCTGTGTACTGTTTTGTTTATACAAGGGCTGTGTAATGTTTTATTTTAGTCAACAAAGGCCGGAGTGGGGACGGGGCCTGGCAGTAGGTGACCCACCAGGCAGTAGGTGACCCACCTGGCAGGAGGTGACCCACCTGGCAGTAGGTGACCCACCAGGCAGTAGGTGACCCACCTGGCAGTAGGTGACCCACCAGGCAGTAGGTGACCCACCAGGCAGTAGGTGACCCACCTGGCAGTAGGTGACCCACCTGGCAGTAGGTGACCCACTTGGCAGTAGGTGACCCACCTGGCAGTAGGTGACCCACCTGGCAGTAAGCCACCTCGGTGTTGTGCGCGGCGAAGGCGAGCAGCACGCGCCGCAGCCGCACGATGTTGTCCGCGAACTCGTGCTCGTAGAAGCGATTGTTGGGCAGCGTGCGCAGCAGGTCCAGCTCCACCTGCGGCAGTTGGGAGTTGTCCATTAGGCAAGTACTTACGTTCACTTAGCGAATTTTGAAAGTACAGGCCCTGAGGGCGACTGTACGTAACAGAAAATATTTTAAAGTTGTCGTACGTGGCGGCAACCATCAGTGCAAGTCATTTCACGCTCACTAGAACGTATCCTTTTTGAGAAGTAGGCTCGTGACAATATTGCTCCGGTTACTCATGTCAGGCGGTAGAGGGTTAGGGCTGAGCAACAAGAATCGCGCATACGAGTTACTGTGAGGAAGAATGTGACGTGACAGGACATGCTGTCGCAACCCTCGTCGGACGTGACCTATGAAGCAAGTATGTCGTGCACACGCGAGCACCTTTTTCATCACAAGCGCACCTGTTTGACGGTCTTGAGGCTGACGACGTCGAAGGCGGCGTCGTGGTCGCGCCTGACGATGCAGCGCGCCAGCAGGTCCTCGTAGTACGTCTCCGGCAGCTGCGCGCGTCTCACGCCCACGTGGCTCTCTATCAGCAGTTGCCACACGCGCCCCTGCACACACGCGCACATCCTTAAAAGTGGGCGGCACAAGTGCACATCCTTAAAAGTGGGCGGCACACACGCGAATCCTTATAGTAAGTGGGCGGCACACACGCGCATGCTTTGAGTGGGCAATGTCGCCACACGCGAGACAGCGTCATACACTCTTGTTGTTTTTGTTGTTTGTTGCGTCGTGAAACACCGGCACGTTGAGGGGGCAGCCTAAGGGGTGGGCGCGGTGGGCGACCGCGATAGGCGGGAGGTGGGCAAATGATGGGAGGGAGGTTAGAATTCGTGCAGCCAGGGGAGGACTGTCCCATAGGGAGGAGACGAGGAGGTCCGTGGGGAAGGACGGGCAGGATAAGAGGTGCTCAGTGTAGAGGAGGAGACTCCCACTCACCGCACAAGCCGCGCTTGAGGAGCGGCGCACCATGAACGTGTAGCACGTAAGATGGCTGCAGCAGCCCGACCCTAGGTGAGCGACAGGGCGAGGGAGCAAGGCTTCCTCGGGGGCGATTGTGGGCGAAGGGGCGGCCAGGATCCTGCTTTTCACGGGGATCTCCGCGGTGTGGGATGCGGTTGCCATGTGAAGGGTCCGCCTGATCTCCCCATAGGAGCCCGCTGGCGAAAAGCTGCCTCGCAAAACGGGGACCACGAGATGACCGAAACGGGCCTGCAAGGTCGCCTGCATGAGTCTCGTCCCAGGAGTGGTGGAGACAAGCGGGATAGAAGGATGATGGGTCTGGAGGGCGCTCGTCAGGTATAGCGAGCAAGCGAGATGAAGGTGAGAGGCCAAAAGAAGAAATTCTGTTACGGTGTGCAGGTTAGCAATGGCGGTCATCTTGAGGCGGCCGGTGGCAACTTGGCAAGTCTTAGGGCAGAGTTCTGCACGACCTGCAGGCCCGCGACGACGCAGCGAGAGGTAAGTAGGCACCTTATTGGGGCTCACACTCAGCAGTGGCAGCTGTGAAAAGGGCGAGCAAATGAACAATGAGTGCATCCATACAAGGGCTCATGACTCACCCTGTACTGCAGGGGCTCATGACTCACCCTGAACTGGAGGGGCACATGACTCACCCTGAACTGGAGGGGCACATGACTCACCCTGAACTGGAGGGGCACATGACTCACCCTGAACNCACCAGCCATCACAACCTGGCCTGCACGCATCACACCGGCCATCACAACCTGGCCTGCACGCATCACACCGGCCATCACAACCTGGCCTGCACGCATCACACCGGCCATCACAACCTGGCCTGCACGCATCACACCGGCCATCACAACCTGGCCTGCACGCATCACACCGGCCATCACAACCTGGCCTGCACGCATCACACCGGCCATCACAACCTGGCCTGCACGCATCACACCGGCCATCACAACCTGGCCTGCACGCATCACACCGGCCATCACAACTTGGCAACCTGCTGAGCCTGCAATAACCTGCTGGGCCTGCAATAACCTGCTGCAGCCTGCAATAACCTGCTGCAGCCTGCAATAACCTGCTGGAGCCTGCAATAACCTGCTGGAGCCTGCAATAACCTGCTGGAGCCTGCAATAACCTGCTGGAGCCTGCAATAACCTGCTGCAGCCTGCAATAACCTGCGTAAGGCCCTCCGTAGTGCAGGTCTGGGCCTGCCGGCCTAGGGAGGCGGCGCAGCGCTGCAGGCCGTCCTCGTCTGTAGGGCTCACGCAGAAGCCGCACTCGTCGTACAGCCTGCCGCGCCTGCTCACCGCCCTGCACACAACACAAACATTATTGTCTACATAACTAATACTTGTACTCATTCATACAGGGACAATACACGCTCACCGGACTCTGAGCAGACGGTCGCAATTCTTAGACCGTAGGGCCTAGACGGCATCAGGCGTGGGGTGGAAGCCGAGGGTGTGTGTGACCGCAGACAGAGGCGTCCAGAGATCATACATAGCATACTCATGAATGCTTGGCATTATGGCCAATGAGCATAGAGGTAAGAGATGCTTGTGTTTACGACCATCGAGAATGAATGGTCGTCATTATTCATGACGGTCGCAGAGAATGAATGGTCGTCATCATTCATTAACGACTCACATGAAATGAGAATTACGGTCACATTGGTGACATTTAAGCGATAACGCTGAATGTCTAACAACAGACAGCGTGTGCTGGATCTCATTGAGCGCCACCAAAATAAGAAATAAATACAGAAAAAAAGGTCTGAGAAATGGACTAACTAAAGAGACAATAGATGCCCTAATTAAGTTACTATTAATTAGTATGGTCTCAGAAATGGACTAACTAGAGACAATAGACGGCCTAATTAAGTTCCTAATAATTAGTATGGTCTGAGAAATGGACTAATTAATGAGACAATAGACGGCCTAATTAAGTTCCTAATAATTAGTAGGCAGGGAACGCACCCGAGCTGCGGTGTGTGGGCGAGGGCGTCGGAGAGCATCCTGGCGAGCGTGTCTCTGTCGTGCTGCTGGGAGGGCGGACTGTGCAGATCGTTCAGGAGCACCAGGTACTTGCTGTGTACACGCTGGTACCTCGCCTCCCACACGCTACACTCGCTGTACACACACACAGCACCAGGTACTTGCTGTGTACACGCTGGTACCTCGCCTCCCACACGCTACACTCGCTGTACACACACACAGCACCAGGTACTTGCTGTGTACACGCTGGTACCTCGCCTCCCACACGCTACACTCGCTGTACACACACACAGCAACAGGTACTTGCTGTGTACACGCTGGTACCTCGCCTCCCACACGCTACACACACACACAGCACCAGGTACTTGCTGTGTACATGCTGGTACCTCGCCTCCCACACGCTACACACACACAGCACCAGGTACTTGCTGTGTACACGCTGCACACAGCACCGACTTGTTCCTCCACACACAATACAAATACTCGTACAATACTCCCTAAATACTCACTATCTGAGCCGCTCCTTCACACACAACACTCGTACAATACTCCCTAAATACTCACTATCTGAGCCGCTCCTTCACACACAACACTCGTACAATACTGCCTAAATACTCACTATCTGATCCGCTCCTCGCGCTGCTTCATGAAGTCGGACGCGCGGCTGAGGTCGACGATCTGCTTGTGTAGGAATGCGTTCTGCGCCTTGTAGGCGAGGTAGGACTCTTGGTAGCGGTCCTTCTCCTGCAGGACGCTATCCAGGTCAGCAACAGGCGCGCTGGACTGGCCGCAGGACTCTGGGTAGCGGTTCCTCTCTGGCAGGACACTGTCCAGGTCATTACTTCGTCCAGAAGGAGGCGTGCGGGTCAAGCTATCAGTGGCTCCTGCTGACGTCCGCGGGTTACCTTTCAGGGCCACATCGAACTGATCTGATCCCAGATCCACGCCGACCACCGCGACTTGAACATCGTTCCCGACAGAGACGGCCGAATGATCGTCCCGGCCAGAGACGGCCGAATGATCATAGCGGAGACTTTTGACTCCCGGCACCAAATGATCCCTTCCTGAGCGCCATTCAACCTCAGCATTTGAAGTAAAGAAATGAGGTGGACCACGATTTAGCTCGCTAGCAACATCAGCCGCATTCGTTGGTGCGTGGCTGCGTTCATTGAGACGACCAGACCAACAGCTGCCCCTGACAGCATCAGTATCGGCATTCAGGAGACCTGCACTCGGCAGATCCGTCACGAGGTCAGGCGAGTTGGACAACTCAGGCGCCGAGTCAGAGCACGCACGATCATAAGGTTTCTTAGAGTTACCACTAACCAGGCGTGGTAAGATTTGAGATGAATTAGTAAACACGGTTTGAGGCGAAGTGTTACGTCGCACGCCCGGCGTTGGTGCAAGGGACGACCTACTGCCCTGCAAGTCGCTCCTTGGGGCCGACGCAGGCGGTTCCTCAGCGACGCTGGACAAAAGTGACTCGATCTCCGAGTTGCGTTCAGAATGAATAAAAGGCGGAGCCGAACTTTGTAGAGGACATCTCATGTTCACCACAGAGGCGTCCAAGAAGCTGCACATCCGCTCTCCTCGGCCGGCCACGGCGTGTGATGTCTTGAACTCCTGCAGCTCGTCAGAGATGCTTCTGATGGCATTGTCCTTAGCCTGGCGAGCAGAAAAGTCTTTCAGGGAACAGTAATTATCACCAGTGAAGCTTTGCTAAGATATTTAAGTCCATGGCGCGAGATGAGGACGTAAGGACATGCATATCGTACTAGACAAACCTGCCCTTCAATCGAGAGTCTGGTAAGAAGAGCGCTATGTTCTAAATTATAAAAGTGGACTAACTTTGACGAGCGTTGAGAGGAGGTCGACCTGCTCGCTGAGATGCCGCGTCTGCTGTCTCAGTTCAGCGATCTCATTCTTCTGGCGACAGTCGCTCTGTTCGAACTCGACCAACGCGCGATCTTTTTCTCGGAGAATTTCCAGTAGATGCTCATCGCTGCCGCTCACCTCGTCCAGTCGGGAACTGAAACGGAGAGAGACGGTTAGCTGGATCGCCCAGACGGGTGCTAGGGACAGGCTGGATCACCCAGACGGTAAAGTACCTCATCTGTCTCTGGCGGTAGAGCAGCGCCAGGTCCTGTTGCAGTGAATACCTCGTCTGTCTCTGGCGGTAGAGCAGCGCCAGGTCCTGTTGCAGTGCATACCTCGTCTGTCTCTGGCGGTAGAGCAGCGCCAGGTCCTGCTGCAGTGCATACCTCGTCTGTCTCTGACGGTAGAGCAGCGCCAGGTCCTGTTGCAGTGCATACCTCGTCTGTCTCTGACGGTAGAGCAGCGCCAGGTCCTGCTGCAGGAGCTCGATGCCCTCCTTGGCGGCCTGCAGCTCCTCAGTGCGCGCCGTCAGGCGATCCTCCGTCGCTGCCAGGGCGCGGCGTAGCTGAGCAATGAAATAATGCCCTACATTTCACCGCCGATTGCAGATGGAGGTTAAACATTTCAAAGAAGATAATCATTGATTCAAGAAGTACCAAATTAGGTACCTACATAAAATTAGTGTCCTGACAACATCCAAGGTGTGATCATGTACCAAAGACAACATCAAGCACATCACCACCAGCAACATCACCACATCAGAGGGAATATCACAAACCCGCAGTTTCAGAGGACAAGAATGAGTGAGAACAGCTGCCCGCCTCACTCCCCAGCTCTGCTGCCTCAGCCTCACCTGACTGCAGTTGCCACAGCTGCCCGCCTCACTCCCCAGCTTTGCTGCCTCTGCCTCACCTGACTGCAGTTGCCACAGCTGCCCGCCTCACTCCCCAGCTCTGCTGCCTCTGCCTCACCTGGATGCAGTTGCCACAGCTGCCCGCCTCACTCCCCAGCTCTGCTGCCTCTGCCTCACCTGACTGCAGTTGCCACAGCTGCTCGCCTCACTCCCCAGCTCTGCTGCCTCTGCCTCCATTGAACTTCGTTTGCTGCTTCGTCTGATGCTGGGCAAAGAGGCAGCATAATCAATCAACCTTTATGTTAATAATTATTTTCAATACTTGGGCTTTCCAAGCATTATTCTGATTATGAAGATTGCTGTACTAATTATCTTAAGGAGATATTCTACTACTATATTGATTATAAAGATAATTGTACTAACTATCTTACTGAGATATTCTACTATAGGTACTGATTATGAAGGTAAGTGAACAAACCATCATACACTACCTATAATCTATATTGTACCATCCTAAGGATACCCTAAGGCCTAGCAGTCATTAGCAGGATTAGGTTCACAGAAATGGAAGCACCAAACCCATCAGGACCATAACGGCCCTGAAGAAAATGTTATATTGCAGAGTAAGTACATGTGAGATTGGAGGCCAGAAGGGATAATGCTTCATTGATATTAGAATGATCTAAACATGGACATTTTAATCCATAAAAATAGGACCTTACAGAACACTGGAGGTTTGGTTAACATAACTGAATACAATGAATCTATATAAAATTTTTCTCTGTCAAGTATACATGATCCAAGTTGGAAATTCAAACTTTCATATAATCATAAAATTACAATTGAATAAACAGGAAAAAAGGACTAACTCCAAAAACATAAGAACAAAATAAAGCATTGAAGATACCACAAGCCTCCTGTGTGAGGTGGCAGCATCTGTACCTGGACAGTGAAGCCTTCAGGTCAGCACCAATTTGTCTGAAGCCAGTGAATGTCTCAGAACTGGGCGAGGGCGTGGCACAAACATTCATGGCTGAAGTTGTAGGTGAGATGAAACATTCTTGCAAGTTGTGTCTCTCAGTTGTACCACGTGATGACATCTTGGAAATATTTCCTTCAGTTTTGCCAGCAGAGAAGTGGGACCGGAAACTTTTAGAAAAATTCTTAGGGCGAAGTTGGAATGAATAACTTTCAGCTTCAGAAGAAATTGGACAAGGCAAAGCATGATCTTCACTCAAGGAGCTTTCATTTTTTATCCCATTTGAAGGTTTAATACATTCACAGCGGCCATTAGAAACCAACCCATTCCTGCCCTGGTCTTGGCTATGCTCAAGCAAATGGACAGTTCTTGGACGCTCGGGCCTCCCGCCAAACTGTGGATCCCTCAGAATCACTTCATGCTTGCCAGTATTCAGGCCTGTTGAATAATTATATTGGTAACTAGTATTAAGTAGAATAGATTGTTAGAGAAGTATTATGAAAAATATTCTTGTTTGCTGCTATTCCCTAATTAGTAACTGGCACAGAGAATGGGATAGTTTGTTCAATTTACACTTTCCTTGTGTAAATTACATTTACAATGTAAATCCTCTGAGTAGCCAGAAACACTGAACAATTTGAATGAAAACAAGAACATAATTCTGCTCATAAATTTGCAAGCAAGCAGGGTATAATTCAGGCATGATAATATTTGAACAAGTGCATTTATCATGTTGAGTGTAAGAATCTGAAACTATATTTTTCTGTTACATGTAACTCATATTTTGCAACTGATTTAAGTTCCTAGGCTGGATAGATCTTGAATATATAAACTAATATTTCTAGTATTCTACCCTGACTGCAAGAAACAACGCTCCTTCTAAAACATTACAGAATATTCCAAGTTTTCACTCAAACTTTAAAGAATGGGGAGAAATAAAGACTTTATAATTAACCACAGCTCAGTGAGATGACACAAGGGACCGAAAAACAATAAGGTGAAGCATATTATACTTAAGTCATAACTACATTAAACATTTCATATGAAAAATAAATCATCTAATTTAATTACATTCTACTCATGGAAGCAGACAAATTAAAAAGTTAGATAAATTGCTTTAAATTTTCTGACGAGTAATATGAATGAATTTGAGCAGCAAGAAGAGAATCCATATATATTATTTGTAATTCATATACCTATCATAAGTAAAACAAATTGTAGGAAGTAGATGAAGAAAAAGACTCACTTTCATGACTGAGAGTCCGAGGGAAGGCTTTGGTCTTCTCAGGGTTATTAAATATTGCGTGAGGAGAAAGTTTTTTTGCAGAGGCTCGTAAACCAAGAGCCACTTTGCTCTTTGAACTTTGTAACACATCAACTAGTTTGGATCGGGACAGTTCTGGAGGAGGTGAACTTGGTAAACTTGTGTACCACTGAATGGTTGTGGATGCGCCATCCTCCTGAGAGGGATGATTCATTGTTAATACAGCAAGATTTGAGCTCACTGCTACAGACGCACAACAATGACACCAGATAAAAATAAAATTATGATCAACCCTAATGAGATGGAACAGAGTTCTATATTACTTATTCAGGTTCTGTCTTTTGATTGAAAGCTAAATTAAACTTACCTGACAACGACTCATGAAGCGGACTTTGCCCTCCTGCAAACTCTCCAACCACCATTGTCGGGAACTGTCATCACCAGCAGCAAAATAATGCGTTTCACCATCACACCTTCAAATGCAAGAATGATCAGATGTTACTTGTATGACCAAGAGCATTCACATTATTGTACCTACTGAAAGAATTACATTCAAATGTAAGAGCAGCATCCCCATTAATTAAGGTAATCTAGTTCACTGCTGGCTCCAATCATCCAACAGCCTGGATACACCACTTCCAGAGAAGAGGTTTGCATTGGAGCTGGGTAGATTTCATTAAAAAATTTCTATAACTAACCGCAGGTTTTCTAATACCTCTGGGGGTGCAGATTGGTGCTCATCTGAGATTGTCAAAACACAAAAATACTCATAATCTCATCAACATTCACACTTATGCATCAATATCAAACCATATCAGTGATCAGACCTTTAGACTGATCATCCTTGCAACACACAATCATCTGTTCAACAATAACATTCAAATTTGTGCTTCCCTTAGAAGATAGAACATTCAGCCACAGATGCATTCACTATAATATCCTAAGGTACAAAAAATTTTTGAATTGTAATATCATCTACATAATCCTAAAATAATAAAAGAAGTAAAAACCATTGGGCCAATCAACTCAGCCTTCCATCTAGCCCCCTCTCCACACTACATTCTACTCTTGACTTGCTTCTCCTCTTCGTAAGCCTCTATGAGCTCTCTTTATACTTACTATCACAGCCACAGTGGCTCATGATCATTGTGATCCATGCCTCACATCTTCTCTAAAACCTCACCCCTCTCACTCCAATTGCCTCCATCATAGAATGTCATCCTCTCTCATACCGTAAAATGGGGTAACTTAGACCACTTTTTTTCTTATAAATGATGCCATTTTCTTACTAGCTAAATTAAACTTGAATTGAAACATGCAAAATACAGGTCTATACTCTAGCTTCACTCACCATAAATTGCTGGCTCCTGCCTCTCATAGTCTTTATGTAATTTCAAAAAAAGTGATGGTCTTTGTTACCCCAGCTCTTGGGGTAACTTAGACCGGGTGGTAAAATCACTTATTTTTTTTGGTAAAATAACTCCAAATAACTCCAGGTTTTGGTGCATTGTAGTAGAACTCTTCTAGTTACATATGCAAATGACAAACTTAAGAAAAGTGTCATAGTTTGCAAATGGGGGGCGCCACCCCATAATGAGGGAAATGTGACTACCTAATGGCAGCCCTGATGGGGTAATATTGACTGGCTTGGATATTAAGTTAAAATTACCATATATAAGACTCTGTAGAGTCTGAAACACAAAGAAAAAACATAAATAGGCTGTCAAACATAAAATATGTTATATATGGTTATTTTATATTAACTTCCAAGCCGGTCTATGTTACCCCGTCAGGGCTGACATTAGGTGGTCTAAGTTACCCCATTTGGGGGCGGTGCCCCCCATTTGCAAACTATGGCACTTTCCTAAAATTTGTCATTTGCATATGTAACTAGAAGAGTTCTACTACAATGCATCACCTGGAGTTATTTAACCAAAAAATAAAAAAATTGGAGGGGGTACTCTGACAGGCTTTAAATAATAGCTTTTTTTCGTGGGTCACATTTTTAATTTTTTAACCTATTAGATATGCAAACTTTTTAAATCTTTCTATTGTATTATGTAGCCTCAGTATTAGGCCTTTCATGCCCATTGACAAAATTTTTCTATGTCAAATAGTTTTTGAGTTGTGGGGGTTTTTGTGAAAAAAAACGAAAAGTGGTCTAAGTTATCCCGCCGGTCTAAGTTACCCCATTTTACGGTATGCCAAACATTATACCATCAAGAGCCACTCTTTTCTTCCCATATCATGCACAGTAAATTTTATTTTCCTTCTTCTCATTCCACTGGTATGCACATCCATTCACAACCAGTTTATATTCCTGCCTTCAAGGCAGAATGAAAATCTAGAGGAAGAGCAGAAGAGCTGGGTCAGCTGGGAGCTGCTATCTGAAACAATATAATTATATAAAATTTTCTCCACAATTAACCAAAAATTCAACTAATTTCCCAACATCAGACTTAAAAATAATCAAGTTACTTACAAGATGCTGAAAATTCCATGAGGATCTTCAGGATCATAATTAAAAGTGGCTGAAGCAATGCTGATTGCTCCCAGGTATTGAGTGCAATCTTTGTCTTTGAAGCAGAACAGTTTGCAGGTGAGTTCTGAAAAAACCATCCATCGCTGATGGATCAAAGTCTTCACAATTCCTTCTCCTGCTGTATTTGCCAGCAGCTGAGACCATGACTTCTGATGTGATGAAAGCTTTCCCAAATACCCTGATATTTTATATTCTGGCTTGGAACACCCGTGACCAAAAATTTCATAGAAAGTACATGCTTTACCCGTTTCAAGCAAATCTTCTGCTGACATAATCAGTGAGGAAAATTCCTTTTAAAAAAATATCAACTCACTTGTCTCTGTAAATAAAAGATTAAAAAGTTTTTAACTATGAAATTTCTTCCATTTTATATTAACATGTACTATACCGTCAAATAGAGTAATAAGGGACAGGCAGGTTAAATCAGAAATATCATCCCATGTTTCATAGAAATGTTGTAGCAGCTAAACTAATCAAAATATTGCAAAATTGAAAATAATGATGTAAAGTTCAACATTTTTACTGCCTATTTAGCATAAAGCAACTCAAGAAATTATACATTTAGTACCTCTAAGAAAATCCCTGAAAAAAAGGGTGATAAGTGGGATTTAGGAAAACTGGAAAAATACCCTTGCTAAAGTCGCAGCCAAAAAAATCTTCACCAGATTAAAAAATTTCACTTACATAAAAGTTGCACACAGCTGTTGGCTTAAAAACATGATTCATTAAAAAAATGGCGTTCATTTCCGAAAAATGGGGAATAAGGGAAACCCCTAAAAATACGTTTACAGAAGAACCTAAATTAGCAAAGGTTCTAGTTAAAAAAAAAAGTAAAACAAAATTTAATCACATTTACCTTGCTCAGCAAAAAATTTTCTCAACAAAAAATTAATGCATCATCGGTCATCACAAAATTGTGCATAGAATGTCATAGATGGGATTGTGCACCGGGCAACATAGATTGAAAAGTAATTAACCTAAACTATGATTTATTTCTCTCTCTCAAAAAAAAAAAAAAAAAACATGATGGTTGTGACTATAATATTCCTTTCCATTTCAGGTGTTTTTTATAATCTTTTCTTGTTATAGTAAATTCACTTAGCCCAATTAAAATGGTGAGAAATTAAAAGCTGTCCTGTAAGCTTAAACTTACAGATACAGAAGAAATGCTATATGGCTGTGGATATGAAGATTGCAGTGGACAAGGTCATTGTAAATGCTCAATGGTATGTTCATGCATGAATACGGTAATACCACATCAATAACACAGTAATGAATGGATATGGTAATATTTGAATAAAGGAAATACAAGTAAAAATCACAGAAAATGTCATTTATTCTACATCTACATCATTTACGAAGGAAGATGAGGACTTCAGATTACTGTTAGTAATAGATGAGTACACTCTGCAGTCTGCATGTGTAAGGCCGCGAATTTAAGTAAGGTGAACCAATGGTTGGTTATACTTGGAAGTGCAGCAAAAGTGAGAGCGAGTAAGTATGAAGTATTGAGAGAAGTGTGGAAGAGTGTAGCAGTGTCTAGCATTATGTATGGATTGGATGTGATAGCATATAGTGATGGCGAGCTAGATAAATTGGAATTGGTACAAAATAGACTGGCGAGATTGGCACTAGGAGCCCCCAGGTGGACTGAAGTAGAGGCCCTGAGAGGAGACATGGGTTGGAGTACCTTCAAGGAAAGAAGAATGAGAGCAGTTTTGAGGTATAAAGTGAGACTGGAGCGAATGGATGATGAACGTTGGGCTCGGAAGATGTATATGTGGAAAATGAAGGTGAGCAAATGGGCACGCAGATGTCGGGCAGTGGTGCGTAAGTGTGGCATGCATGAAGCATGGGTGCGCCAAAGGCCCGCTGGGCCAATGGACGAATGGGTGGTGACAGTACGGGGTGCGATTAGGAGAGAGTGGGATGAAAAAGAGTGGAAAAGAGAAATAAATAAGCGAGTGAAAGACTATGGGCTGAAGGTATGGAAGCAAGGAATGGAGGGAAAGGACTCTCTAAGACTGTATGAGATGAAAGCGATGCCAAAATATGAATGTATGTATGATGATAGTAGAGGTGGGGACCTTCTGTTTTGTGTTAGGGCAGGCGCGCTAGGTGTGAATGGACGTACATACAGGTGGAATGAAAGGAGAGAAGATAAATGTTTTATGTGTGATGGGGATGAGAAGGAAACTGTAGAATACGGTAATCTCACTTGTTGATGGAATGTGGGGCGTATGAGAGAGAGCGTCAGTCTATGATTGAGGTGATTCTGAAAGAGAGAAGTTAGACTAACGAGGTGGGGCATGAGAGAACAAGCGAAGAGTGGATGGTGATAATTACGGGTCTGTCTGAGGGAGCAACTGCGGCTATGTTTGAGAGTGTGAAGAGATATTTGGAAAACGTGTGGAGGATGAGTGAGAGGAGAAGGATGTTATGAGTGGGGTCTTGAGGAATGGAGGGTTGAGAGAGGGGAGGGTGGGAAGATGTGTGAACGTGCCAAATTGTTTTAGTATGTGGTTTTACTTTTTTGCAATTGTTAAATTTTTATATTTTTTCTTAGGACAGCTGTGAATATGGTATATTTGAACTTTTTTGTTAACATAAGAGTGTGAACTTTTAATTTTTTTGATGCTAGTAAAAATTTTTAGGCAGCGTGTATGACCGATTTAAAGGTCGTGACCGTAGGTCACCATGCACCCCAATTCCAATTCCATGTTTCAAACAAGTGTCCCTTTGAATTACATTGTTCCCAGTTGTAATTAGGGATGCTTTTATTTTGCTTCTGGCACCTTACCACTCTCAGGAAAAATTAAGTTTTTTGGGGAATATTCCCATGCAAAATGCGCTTCCTGAAACCAATGGTACGTGCAGACGTCACAGTTAGTGCAAAATTACCTCAATACTGCGCAGGACTGTGCAGGATTGCTCAAAACAGCGCAGTTGGCAGTAGCATATGGCTGCACAGAGCAGGTGGCTGCAGCCAGCAACTGGCACTGAATCAGTGAATGCAGCAATGGTCTTCAGTGTGCATACCTGTGAGTCACATGGATACGATCCAGTAATTGCACTGCCACCATTTGACCGTTGTTAGCATTACCTGGCATTGAACGTGTTTACGGTCACTATTGTGCGTACGAAACAAACATAGACACGTGAACACTACAAGCACCGACACCCATTGCTCGGCATTGTGAGAATATAATACATCCTAGCATAGCTGCAGCTCATGGCGGCAGCAGGGATTGAACTATATACGGCTATAAATACACTACAAGCATTGGCACCTATTGGCATTGTGAGAAGATATTACATCATAGCATAGCTGCAGCTTTTGACAGCAGCAGGGATTGAAGTTCATTGAACTATATTTAGTTAAAAACACAAGCTTTAACAATGACACCTATTGCTGAGGCTATTGGTGATATGAGAAGTCAGAGAAGACATTGTTACAGCATTGAGCATGGCTCAGGAAATTCATGCGTGGAATTCTAGAAATGGAGGTTCAATTATAAAAAAGCTTTCCACTCAAGGTGGAATGCTTTCCCTAGATACAGTGCTCTGCAGTCTGCCAGGTGAGTGACTATAAATGAAAAGGAGGATCAAAAGTGGACAAACTGTTTCAATTGTATAGTACCTCAGATTTGCTGTAAAATTGTTTGAATGTCTTTTTTGATAGATATTTTCTATTTTTCTTTTATTTAATGGATTTTTTGAAAAATTTCCAGGTTTTTTGTTTGTAATGATCAAGTTTAAGTTAAGTACCTATTAAGTTAACCAGTACTGTAGTACATATACTATATTGGGGGCGGGGCTTATGGGCACAACCAATCACAGCTTGAAAGCATCCCCATCAACCAATCACAGCTTGAAAGCATCCCCATCAACCAATCACAGCTTGAAAGCATCCCCTAGGGGCTAAAATCACAATCCCATCAACCAATCACAGCTGTAAAGTGGAAAGCTGGAAGGGGCTAAAATCACAATCCCATCAACCAATCACAGCTGAAAAGTGATAGGATATGTATAATGTATATAATATAATGGACTGAAAGTGGAAAGTTCCTGGCCTTTCCAAGCTTTCAGGTCCTGCTTTCCAATATGCTATGTGTACTGGTTAATTTAATATCCCTTTAGAATTCCACACTCAGGGTGCATACCAATATTTAGAAAAAAAATTCCATGACTTTTCCATGACCTGGTTCTAGTAATCTTTAAATGTAAACTGAAAAGAGAGTAGTAGTCACTAGTCAGCGGCTCAGCGCAGCAGAACCAAACTTTGCCAGAACATGTACAAGATGTGTATAAAACCTATGTATCCACTTATATATTTATTCGATATTACAGTTTTATTATGAATCTATTTTTCTCTGGTGGTCCCACTCCTTGGCTCCCATATGGCATATTGGCATATGGAACCGCTCAGCATTATTGGGTTAACAAACGCTGCACTGAAAAAAAACTTCCTTTTTTTTCTTCATTCATTTGCCAATTTAATGACTCTCCATAACCTGAAATGAAATCCTATGCCTTTTCAGGCCTGGAAAATGAAAAATCAAATTCCAATATTCCATGACTTTCCAGAATTCCAGGTTTTTAATGACCGATACGCCCCTGATAGCTGCAGCTCCTGGCAGCAGCAGCCAGCAGAGATCAAACTATATACAGTTACGGGTTATTAATACCCTATGTACATTGCCACCGCGCCTAGTGGACACTGGACAGAGTGGTGACAATAAATAAAATTTATTTATTGTCTTTATGTCACTGTGACATAATGACATTGTTGTCACCGCACACCCATGTTTAATCTATAACTAGTAACAGCACAAGGCAAATTTTTTCTGGACAAATTACCGTGCACCGTGCAGAATAAAAAATTGAAGACATGAATATGATGAATTCCTGCACAACTGGCGCATCTTCCTGCCTATGGCTGCTATGGGCAACTTGATGGATGTGTATGCATAGGTGACAACTTCACGCACCTATAAGTTTAAATTGGCTGTTCAACACTTACTAAGTTAGGCTACTTGGTTTAGTTGGTTAAGATGAGCCTGATGAGGCGCATCACCGACTGAAGTATTGGCAGTTTGGCACCCCCATAACCCATTCAGCAGTCTTCAGGGAGCATTAAATGTTGTCAAGCATGTTGATATAATGGAGGTACAGCGTACAGGTAACAGGCTACTTGATAAGTTGATGTTGATGATTATGTCAGCAGGAAATTCAGGGGCTATGAGCGAGGACAGGCTGAAGGAGACTCTCAGCGTCTCGGGCGGATGCAAGCAGCTTTCAGTCGATTGCGATGAGGAGA